AGTCGGCTGGGTAGATTTGAAAAAAAAACTCCAACCGGTCATAATGGTTGCAATGCACAAAATGCTCTATTTTCCGATGCATAATTACCTTAGTATGAGCTCATAACAGGTATATGGTACCTAGATTGAGGCATTATTACCCCAGTAATAATTGTGCAAATTCATAGTTTAAATTGTCTCCCAGTAGGTCTCGGATATGTTGCCGTAGACGTTGCAGAGGGATGTGCAGCATTCATTGCTTTGGAGACAACTTCTTTCCTACTTCCTTTGGCACATCCCAGGGTGTAGACAACCTGGACCTGATAGCACTTTTTATAATCAACGAAACATTCTTCGTACAGTCTTGGAAGAAGTTAAGAAGAACTCAAACTACTAGCTAATATTCATCGTGGTTTTTTCCTAAATAGGATTTTTGCTGGATTTGAACTTCTGCCCATTCTCCTTACTTGCCTAGGAACTTTCCATAAGTTTTACTCTCAATGAGATGGGCCATGTATGTGTTTCATATTCAGAATTCTAACAATGTTTACATGGCTGCCCAATTTGTGCCGTAGTTCCATGGGCCGGCGAACCTGCATAACGGTGATTTTACCATCTGTGCACTTCAAATTCCACAGGGTTGAAGTGTACACTGCCTTGGAAAGGTTAAATTGATCCTAGGCAATCAGTATTTTTACCACTACACTCTTCAATGAATTGACATTCCCCTACCACTGGCTAAGATGTAACGAAAAGGTTTGAATCAAGGAGTTACAAATGAAAGTTAATAAAGCGAAATAATATCAATGAATGAAAGTGGGTATTGGCTGTTCAAGTGAGAATGGCTAAATCTAAGAGTTTTCTGGATGGGATTCCTCTGTGACTAAGTGTTCTTTAACATTTTAACCTTTTATCTGGAGAACTTGCTTGCGAAAAATCTCAAAGTTGGTGTAGGATTCCCAGCCTAGGAAAGTCACCCGTGCTCTTCGCTCATATTGGTTTTTTGAGGACACCACCAGACCGAATACGTAGGGTCGAGGTTACGATACACTTCTCCTAGGACCTCCAGTTTCCAACCGGTTTCATACCCTCTAAAGAGAACCCCGTTACACAACCTCCCGGATCATATATAAAACCTTACGTGGTCTTTACTCTTTCCATTGGTTTCGTTTAAAATGTGCTCTTAATTTCTTAATTTTAGAAATCTTGCATTATCAACAGCGGGACCGGTTTCTGCAACCCTTCAATGTCAAGGTCAAATGAACCCTTGGAAACGCCTACAGCGTCAGTTGTTTGTTTCGTTCACAGCATCAACTAAAATAGAATCATTCCCTCGTGGTGGAATATCAGCGACATTTGGAAGTTTACGATGTAATATTCTAATGACATTAAGAGTTTACTGGAAGTAAACAACTCAGGGAATGACTTGTTACTGTTAGGTTACCTGATAACATCGATGAGAGGCCGGTGCGGTAGAGGATTTGTCTCATGGGTTTGTTGCCAGCAATGACACGAGGATGGGCTCATCTGATGACTTTCTGTTTACTAGTTGCGAGGATATAAGTAACATCCACAGCGAGCCTCGGTTCCCGGACCAAAGAAAACCACTCTGGAGAATTCCTCTTTGTTTCGAAATGCTTACTCACATTGCGTCAGAATTATCGTCGCTGGGTGTGAAACCTTTGATTTCTTTGATTTTCATGTGCAGACCTTTATCGTCTGCCCTTTGGGCCAGCTGGTGGAGATCCAGTGCCATGGAAGACCACGAATTTAGGGGTGCTTCCTAATATCGGGCGAGGCCGCGTCTAATAAAACTATTTTGACATTATTAGTTTTATTTCCTCATAGTCATCACAGCTGATGGTCATAAAATCATCTAATGCAATAGGGAAGAGTACTCATA